AAAAAAAAAAAAAAAGACTAAAGCTCTTTCCACAAGAATGAGAAATTGAAAATAAATTTTTGATTTCACAACTTTAGAAGTAAATTAGATTCTTTTGACTGTCATCTGATGCAAAGTGGGGCTGGCGATGTCTACTGCGTAGCTGGCAACACTTGAATTTGATTGTTTTTTGAGACAGAGTTTGAAGCTGTCATCCTGGGTAGAGTACCATGGCATCATAGCTCACTGCAACCTCCAACTCTTGGGCTCAAGCTATCCTTTTGCCTTAGTTTTTCTGTTTTTTAGTAGAGAGGGGGTCTCGCTCTTGCACAGACTGTTCTCGAACTCCTGAGCTCAAAGGATCCTTTCACCTCAGCCTCCCAGAGTGCTAGGGTTACAGGGGAGCCACCGTGCCCGGCCTAACACCTGAGTTTTTATTCCACCTCCCAGCTCCATTAATGCCTTAGTCCCATGAGCACTGATTTCATAGGTATGGGAAGAGAATAGGGAGGAGACTGACTACAGCCTGGTAAAACAGAAGATCTGTGGAAAAGGTGACTATGTCTGTGACACTTTTCTTCTACTCTTCCCCTCTTCTTTTTGTCATTCAACTTATTTTGAATGCAATGCCCAAGGGCAAGGAGGACACTCAGAAGAAACTGGAGAAGTTCCCTGGAAGGTGTGGGTGTGTTTTGTATTTTCATGCTGGCACTGATGTAATATTTCTGCTATAATTCAAGTCTATCTCCTCAGTGGTTGCTGAGCCCGTGCCAGAGACTAGAAGCGAACGTTCCAGCCACCCTGGCCCCTGTGTTTGTTTTTTGCAGTTTTTGGCCGGGGCTGGGTTTGAACCCATCGCCTCCAGTATATGGGGCCAGTGCCCTACTCCTTTGAGCCACAGGCACCACCCTGGCCCCTGTGGTTGGGCAGCGCATGCATCTGTATCTGTTGCATGGGAAGCAGTTTGGAGAATTGCTCCCCTCATGTGAGAGACTGGATTGAGATCAGCCCAGGTGTTACTGTTACTTATTGGAATGATGTGGCATCCCAATTCCCAGTTCTCTACCTGTTGAAACCAGTCTGGTCACAAGGACTGCTCCCCTCTAACACCTGCCTTCACTCAGAAGCCATCCCTGGGGTGTCTGGACAATGCAGGTGAATGGCCAACCAGGGCAAACTGCAGGCACAGCCCACCTCCTAGCAGGACCTCCTCTTCCCTTTGGTTTGATCAGAGGGACAATGGTCACTGGGATAACTCGAGCACATCTCTGACTATGTCATGCCCTTTGACCCTTTCTCCTAACGCCCACTACAGATTCGTGGATCACTCAAATCCTCCTCCTCCATGGTCTCCTACCAAGGAATGTCTTCTTTTTTGTTGTAACTTCCCCCACCTCTGTTTCCTAACTAGCAACATTTAAGTCTGTCAAAATCAGGAAAAATAGTAAAATGTTAGGTTTTTTTTTTTAAAGAATTTGTATTATATTCAACAAACTTAACTAGTAGCAGCTGTAATATTAACAACACTGCCACTAGCATTTGTGGGGTACCCTGTAGCATAACCTATAAGGTAGCTAATATCATCAACCCTAACTTTACAGTGAGGAGCTGAAACACAGAGGAATTAGGGACCTGGCCGTAGTCACACAGTGAGTGGCAGAGCCAGACCTGCACTGAGGGGTTTGACCCACAGTCTGTGGCACTGTGGTTCTAGTGGGGGTGCTCTCCTGCCTCTCACTGCCCACATGAGCCAAGTGGGAAGAAGCAGGGTGGGCCCTTCCCTGCCATCCCTCACTCCCATCCCTGTCCCTCCCCTAAACCCCTGCCACCCCACCACCCCACCTCTTCACCTCCCTTCCCTACTCTGTCCCTATTGTGTCACACCATCCACTACCCTCCTGCAGGCCCAACCTTTCATTTCCATCCCTCAAGCTCCTTGTCTTTCTAGGCCTTTCCTCTATTCCAGCAAGCATTATAAAACACCTTCCCTGGGCCTGCCCCACCTCTGCCTTCCCCTCGAGTTTGCGCGCACATATGTATTTCCCCCACCACAACCTAACTGGCCCCTCTGCCCCATGTCATTGTCTTACACCTTCATCTGATACATATTTCCTCTTCTACTCACTGTGGACAATCAGGTTTCCACCCTCCAGTCTCTTTCTCAGCCTAGTGTTAAGACTTCTTTGGGTCCTGCCTACACAGTGAGCAGAAGGCTCCCAGTGTCCACCTTCCTTTTGAGGCAGACTGCCTCTCTCACCTACCTCTGCCAGGCACTCTCCCCACAAGGGCACCCTGCCCCGACCCATACCTCTGTGAGCCTGCCAGACTGGCCCCGGTGCCTCCTGGCAGGAACAGTGTTTGTGTGCAGTGCCAGGTGCTCAGATATTTATAACCACCACCAGGCACTGGTGACAGGACAGGCAGGAGGAAATCCAGCCTTGTGCCTTTAGTGTCTACATTCCAGTTATTTTTAAACAGCTTTTTGTTGTGCCCATGGGTTGAATGACATCATGTTTGCAGCTAAATGTCTGGCTTATGATAGGCCCTGAAGAAAGGACAATAGCAACAATAATAATGATATATTAATTGGAAATGTTGGTGAAACACATACTTTGTTCCTGGACCCAGATACTTACCCTTGTAACCTTGACTCTGAGAGGCAGTTTTAAGGCAAAACTACATTTTTCCTTGAGGTAAGGCTTATAAAGCCCTGCAGAGGCCACACTGTTCTTAGGACCAATAAGGCTAAAATTTGTGCCAACAAGGCAAACCCTGAAGGTGGGGAGACTGAGGTAGGCCACCCTCAGGTGATCTGGCTCATTAGCCATGGCTACCACTTGTGCACCTCATGCCAAGTGTCTGGCCCTGACTCCGAAGCTGTGGCCCAGAAGGTTCTCCTGCAGGTAAGTTTGACCCCCCCATTGTGGTGTAACTGTCTGGCCTCCTCAACACACTGACACCCTCTCCATTGTTGTGTATGCAGCCTGACAGCTGCTGGGAAGGAAGCCCCTCTCAGAACACAATCGTTCCACCATTCTAGTCCTCATAGAGCTCATTTTCCCACATGAGGGGATGGTGACCTGTTGCTTCTGCTGTGTTTTCTGCCCGCTTTGCTCAATAGAACATCAAGCCTGGTGTCTACAGACTGATAGTGACATTGGCCTTCCTGTTGATTCAGACACCTCAGCAACTGTTCCATTCATGCAATTATTTATCTTTTCTTCAACTAAACTTTCCTGAGGGTCCTGGTGTCATAGGACCATCATGATAATGATAACTGCCTCTCTCTTTAAAAAGTTTTTTGGGCTCGGCGCCTGTGGCTCAAGCGGCTAAGGCGCCAGCCACATATACCTAAGGTGGCGGGTTTGAATCCCCAGCCCAGGCCTGCCAAACAACAATGATGGCTGCAACCAAAAAATGGCTGGGCGTTGTGGCGGGCGCCTGTAGTCCCAGCTACCTGGGAGGCTGAGGCAGGAGACTCGCTTGAGCCCAAGAGTTGGAGGTTGCTGTGAGCTGTGATGCCATGGCACTCTACCCAGGGGGATAGCTTGAGGCTCCATCTAAAAAAAAAAAAAAAAAAAAAGTTTTTTGAAATACAGGGTGTCCATAAAGAGCGTGCAATTTAAAATAGGAAGCTATTTTATGGACACCCTGTATAATCACATATCACAAAACTTACCCTCTGAAAGTATGCAATTCAGTGGTTTTTAGTATATTCACAGAGTTAAAAGACCACAAAGTATGATCTTTTATAACTGGCTTTGTTACTTCATGTAATATTTTCATCATTAATCCATGTTGTAGCATGGATCAGTATTTCCTTTCTTTTTACAGCTGAATACTATTCCATTGTACCATAATATATTACTTGTTTATTTATCAACAGATGGACATTTTCCACTGAAGAATGGATTGGATTGTTTCCACTGTTTAGCTATTAGAATAGTGCTACAACTAACAATAATGTATTAACAATTATGTATTAGTGGCCAGGCACAGCTGTAATCCTAGCACTCTGGGAGGCCAAGGCAGATGGAATGCCTAAGCTCAGGACTTTGAGACCAGCCTGAGCAACAAGACCCCATCTCTACTAAAAAGTAGCCAGGCATAGTGGCCGGCACCTGTAGTCCCAAGGAGAACACTTGAGCCCAGAAGTTTGAGGTTGCTGTGAGCTATGATGCCACAATGCTCAACTCCAGGGCAACAGAGTAAGACGTTTATTTCAAAAAAAAAAAAAATCATGTATTATTTTCTGTGTGGACATATATTTTTAATTCTGTCAGGTACATGTCTAGGAGTGGAATTCCTGGGTCATATGGTAATACTGTGTTTAAACAATCTAAAGAACTTCCAAATGCTTTAATTAAAATGACCTAACCATTTTGCAGTCATATTAGCAAAGCATGAGGTTTCACCATTCTCTCTGGATATTCACAATAACCTTCTAAGGTTGTTGTCATTATAATCTACAACTTACAGAGAAGGAAACCGAACCTCAGTTTGTCACTTGCCTATAGTCACGAAGCTGGCAAGTGGCAAGGCTGGGTTTCAAATTGTAGTCTTGTGATTTCAAGGGGTGTGCTCTTCCCTCTGTGACCTACTGCCAAGTATTAGCCCTGCGTCACCTATGAACTGTTTCTTACCCTTTCACCTCTGCACCTGCATCCTCCCAGTGAGAAGTCTTTCTGTGTTACAGGATGTATCAGGAAATGCTGCATTTTTGGCCTTCACTCCTTTTGGGTTTGTTGTTCTTCAAGGAAACAAGAGGGTCCACTTCATTAAATGGTGAGTGTTTTCATTTTCCAAATAGGCTCTTTATATTTCACCAACTGGGGAGGGGGCTTGGTTCCTGCATCCTTTGTCTGTGAGTGGGCAATTATGGTTCCGAGCACTTTCCAAAGCCTTATGTTGATAATGGTAACTGACAAAGGGAGTGGTCTCTTCCTGGGGATCCTGTTCTTCCAAAGGGGTGTCCCTGAGAGCCAACAGCCTCTCCCAAAGAGAGAAAGGGTATGGACATTTGATTTCTGCAGAGGATTAGAGGCCTGGGGTAGTGTTAGAGAAGCCAAGTTCTCAAGAGAACAGCACCCACCCCTCCCCTACAGAGGGCCACATGTAGCCCTCTAGGGCAGGTTGTTCTGGAGCATCTCTGTGGATGGCCCAGTACCCTTAATACTCTGTTAAAAAGGGAAGAGCTCACAGGCAGTGACCCCTAGGACAGATATGTCACCCTGTTAACTCTGGCAAAACACCCTCCTCAGACCAGCTCCCACTGTGGCCATTTTGTCTGCAAGAGTTCAGATACTGGTGAACTGAACTCTCATTCCTCTTTAGGACTTAAGTGTCCTCAGCCACCAGAAGTCATATCCCCACTCTTCCTTCCCTCCCTGCTCCACTCCTGCTCCTAACAGGCAAGAGCCACTGCCTCAGCTGCAGCTGTGCTGAACTGCTTCCTCTCCTGCCCAGTCTTTGCTTTTGAGGTCTGTTCTGCATGGCTCTGGTTTGTTGATTGACATTTGGCTACCCTGGAGACTCTATTGCTGGCCAATCCATGCAAATTTTCCAAGAAAATTTTGCATATTTTACTAAGCCCCTATGATTTCTGTACCTTCTTGGACCTTAGACTGCCAACTCTAAGTTGGCCAGATCCTCCCATGGGCTTAGATAAGTGGCTTCCCTTGCTCCAGCCGAGCTCAGCAGAGGAAGCCTACTCCCTGTCTTGGTTCCTTTGCCTTCTCCAAAACAGCTGATGAGGAATCTGAGTACAGAGTTGCTTTCTAGTAAGCATTCTTCCAGGGCTGCTGCAGGGCATCTATCCTCCTACGCCATCCTTAGCTTCCCCACTGAGTTTGTGGACAGAAACCACCTTTTCAACCCATATTGTTCTTGGGAAGGGTGGCAATATAAGGACCAAACAGAGCACTGGGGAAATTGCTCCTCAGACATGTAGGGCCAGGTCCCATTCCCCAGGACAGCAGCATGTGCCCTCAAGTTACTACTAGACCAGAACACACCTGCTTCCAGGGCTTCTTCACATTGGCCCGCTTCATTGTGCTCTCTGGGTGAGGATCTCCTGTCTAACAAATCCTTTTTCAATAAAAGACAGCGAGCAGGATCAGGCCATAGCCCTCCTAGTGTGGAGCATTTGCTGCCTGGATGTCCAGGCTACTTAATGTTCCCTAGAGGGCCCAGATCCTGGGCCACATGCTGACTGGGGTGGCTGTTTCATGAGGTCCCTGTCAGGGGCCCAGTTTAGCTACAAACAAGTAGGATGCACCTGTTAGACACTTATGATCTCTAAGTGTCCCTACCCCTCCTGAAGATCCCCACTTCCCCCAGACCCATTTCTTTCCACATGTGCCACTTCCTCAGGAAGTCCCCTCTTCAGCCTGTCTTGAGTTTGTAATAATAAATACAAACCCAATCTCACTTCCAAAACAAAACTCCTTACTTTCCTCCCTTGCTTGCTGGAACCTAAATGATCCAGCCATGCTTGTGTATATATTAACCAATTGACGTTTAATGTCTTCTGCATGTGAAGGAGAGATTGATGATTGATTTGTTGCCGGGGGTGGGGGGGTGGGGGGGTGGAATAAAAGGGAATCAGACAGGAAAAGAATACCATGCGGCTTGTATTAGCTCAGAACTGGTGGTCAGATGTGAGCCCTCATCCTGACCCAGCCATGATTTCCAGGATCATAGAGAACAGGTGATTCTCCTGTCCCCTGAGCTATGCCCAGCAGTAAATCAGGTACGTGGTTCTTACTACCTTTCTACGGTAGTATTAAGGTAGATATTAAGTAAATGTCCCTAGAAGTTACAAAGAGAAAGAAGCCAAGTGGAGGCAGATGTGCACAATCAGACCTCCTTGGGGGGTCCCTGTTGGGTAGAAAAATAAGGCTTCCAGTGATGTGGAAAAGGCCCTGAGGCTCCAGAGGGCAGCTGTGCTGGACAAATGGAAGGGAAGTAAGGAACAACTGATGCTGAGGCAGAGCTCTGGCTCTCAGGGACATCCACCTAAGACCCTAGTATTTTTTTCATTTTGCAAATGTAACCAAGGCTGAGAAGCAGTATATGGAGGTGAGGTCTAGGCCGTGCCATGTACAGTAACCATGTCACTTCTTCTGATTTGTGTCTGTCCCACGGGTGACATACCCCAGTATCCTGTTTGCCTCTTTTACTGCAGCCATTCACTGGGCTGGTGGCTTCAAGGATTTTTCTACAATAACCCCTAAGCCCCTTTCCTGGTCAGTACGCTGCATGACTGTTCCATGTAATTTGTTCTCTCTCTTTGGTATGTTGCCCTGCCCCCTCCCTGGACTGTCTGACATTTGTCTGCATTAAACTGCATTTTCCATCCCGTGGCACAGTCACCTGAAAGACTCAACTCCCTCAGAACCTGGTTGCATTGTTTTTCATTATTTGCTGTATCTTGAACTTTGGCCTCATCAGCTACCTGTGGCATCTTATGTTTCATAATCCCATCCAATTAATGCACCCATGTTATGAACCTAATCCTGAAATGACCCACACTCTACCTAGACTCACTTTACATGCAAATGTTTCCCTTTTACAGCCACTGTTGATGAGCCTGAAATCCTATCACCCTATTATTATAGTGTGATTGACCAGAAAACTGTGGATTGAATTGTTCCAACAACTGTTCTCCAAGGCCACTGCGCTGCTGTCTTGTTTCAGTTCTAATTTTGGCTAAAATTGTGTCTGTGCCTGGAGACCCTTCAAGTCGGGGTGGGCTGTGCATCTACAAGACTTGGCTGTGAACATGCAGCCCACATGAGGTGACAGGCACTCTCTTTGTGCTTCTAGGAATGAGGTAACCAAGCTGAAATTTGAAGGAAAGACTTTCTATTTATACGTAAGTCAGAAAGAGGTGAGTACTGGTTTCTTTCTCCTGGGGGTGGGTGGGGAATGGTTCCTAGTGGCCAGGGCCAAGTTTAAGGGGTCTAGATGGAACTAAGCCACCTGCATACTAAGCCAAGACTAAAGTCAAGACCTAGACATGAGGTATGAAGGGGTTTAAAGACTCTGGAGCATAGCACTCCTCAGGGATGCTGATGACACCCAGAGCTTCCACCCAAGAGATCCTTACCTCCAAGAAATACAAACAAGATTCTTTTTCTTCCATATGGAAATTCCAGATGTAAGTGCCTCTTTCTCACCAAGGGCTCTCCTGGTTCAATCTATGCCAGCTGAGACTTACTAATTGGACTTGCCATGTGTGAAGTGAACCAATCTCTACTGCGAAGGGTCCTGCAGGTGTTCCCTCCCAACTAACCAGCTGCCGGGGCCCTCCAACAGCTCAGAGGTCAGGGTCCTGGGCTACTTAACCCTTCACTTCTCCATTCACACTCAGCCATTTCTATGTGGAATTTTCTGCAGGAAAAGAAAATTATTCTCACTTATTTTGCTCCAACTCCAGAAGCCTGTAAGCACCTCTGGAAATGTGGAATTGAGAACCAAGCCTTCTACAAGTGAGTGGACATATGCAACAGGGACCATCTTTATCAGAGCCAAAGTCACAAAGGCTATTTTGAGGAATGATGGGGAGGCAAACTGAAAGAAGGCATGAGATCATAGAACTGGGCTTTCTAGTGAAGCTTGGACCCTTCCTGTGTCTCTGTCAATAGCCCCTGGAGATACAGAGCCAAGGTCTGGGAATATGGTTCAGCTAGGTAGTCCAAGGTGTCTGCCTGGAGATGTCCTTGGACAGCCCCCAATGGTAAAGCTTGTCTGGTTGTTAGGGGCAAGATTTGGGCCAGAAAAGGCCAATGGATACCTATCTTGAATCAAGCTGCACTTAGGGAGCCATTCAGTGCCCTTGGGAAGCCTAGAACACAACAGCTCCACAAAGGACCAGGCACAACCCAGGGAAGCTCCCTGGTTTCTAGGCCCCAGCCCCAAAAGACTTGGGTCTGCTTCCTATTGGGGGCCGGAGCTAATCTGGGGTTGATACCAGCCCTTCCTGGTGTCTCACTGCTAGCGGGGTTGCCAGTGACAGGCCAAGTGCCTAAGAGCACAGGTTAGGGTAGCTGAGGTGGGCAAGGAATTGACTGTTACTGAGAAACCAGGTTCAAGCCAAAGGCAAGAACTTTGCTTATCAAAGGATTTTGTGTTCCATTTTCTATTGTTAAGAAAATGGTTTTAAAAAGCATAAGGAAGCAAAGAAATGACCCATCAAGAAACTAGGAATATGCCAGGCAAAGAATATTAAACTAAACCCCTTAGTTTTGTTTTAAAAATAGAATGATGTATGCTTTAATATGTATCTTAAGACAAGGCAAGACAGAGTGTGTGGTCTATTTCACCCAAGGTGAGCCTTACTGTCACCAAATGCCCCTGAGAGGCTAGGTGCCCCCTCCAATAACCTGAATGATCCTGGAAAGATCAGAATTGCTCTGGGCTGAGTGGCACCATCCTCCTTTCTGGTGAATAGACTCTGCCACCTGCTGGCTGCTAAGAATGCCAGCCAGCAGAAGCAGTGTCCTCCCGATTACTAGGGCCCCAGCCCCAGCTGCTGTTTCTTGAGTAGGTTCTGAAGTGCTTGGGCAGGCAGAATTCTAATCTGAGTGGGCTTCTTTCTTCTGCTGAAGAAGCCTGGTCAATGGTCAGATGTCTCTCCCGTTCAGTCCTTGCTGTCCAGGGAAAGTCAGGAAAACCTTTCTTTTGTTAACACCTTTCCTAGGTCGGTGAGGAGAGAACCCAGGTTTGGCCAGTTACATGATCCTGGAGAGAAGCAACTTGAGAGGCAAACTCCCACTTGTGGGACAGAGAAATAGCCCAGGAAAAACAGGGTCCTGTGAGCCTCCCCAACAGAGAAAGGAAGGCAGGAGCAGAGGCCTTCCCCACACTTAGCTGTCACTGCCTGGGGAGTGGTATATTTAGAAGCATTCTCCTTCTCTTTGCCAAAGTGTCTAATACAAATGCAAGTAATCCCCTTCCCTTATCTTTTCATGCCTCCAGCACCATTTTTAAGGGCTTTGCTTTTCCATCTGTGTCTTGAGAATAGAAGTATGCTTCTGAACCTGTGACCAAACTCAGTTTCTGCGTCTTTCCACTAATAGATCTCCATACCCACCCAGCCCGGCCAGTACCCACACTGGGAACTGAGGTCATTTCCAGCTTCTATTGCCTCCTTAATATTCTAATTGTTAAAGCCTCTATGCTGGGTCAGATCCCCAGTTATGCCAAGTCTGTGGCAGACTCTCTCTGTGACCTTGCTCTCAGCATCACTCACATACAAGTCACTAGTCCAGCCTCTGGCAGTGTCTGGACAGGAGTAGAGTCAGGCTTGAGGATCTGCTAGGCAAGAAGGAAGGTGGACTCAGACCTCATGGAGCCCCAAGGCAGGTGGGGATAGTGTCTCTTAGGAACTGTTCATGGCTTTAGGGGACAGTTTCTACTGACCTCATACCAAAGATTTCAGACCCAAATGGGTTGCTGCCTGTTTAGTACTATAGGCACCTGGGTGTGTCACAAGTAAGCTGGGTCTTATGAGACTTCTCTCTGGGCAGCTCTGCCCAAGCTTCCATTTCTAAGTGTGAGACAGCTAATGGGATTGGTGAAATCAACCAGAAAGATGTTCTACAGTTCCCATGGCCTTCCAAAACCTTGAAAATGATGTTACACAAGCATTTTGGGGGAAGGAAGAAAGCTCCAAGCTCAAATACACAATGGAACTTTTTATTAATGTCAAGTGATTAATGTTAGTTTCTTCACTGCAGGACTTCTCATAGTCTTAACTATGGTAATGAACAGGGTATTCCAAAAGCCACCAGGCACAGGGAAAATGGGGGAAACAGTAGCTAAATGTACCTTTATTTGCAAAATATTTTCTACATGTTGGTCACCTCTTTGCAAAATTTTGCAATGAATATTTTGTAAATAAAGGTACATTTAGGTACAATTTCTCCCATTTTCCTATGTATGGTGACTTCTGGGACACCCTGTGATTTAAGGATCGCCAAGAGGGAGATGGAAGAGGAAGGGCATAATTACCTACACACAGATACGAAGTCAAAATACTAGGTAGGACTGGAAGGGACCCCTGAGGTATAGAAGTCCCCAGTCCATCATTTTATAGATGAGAGGGAAAGAAATGTGCCCAAGGCCACACTGCTAGTAAGTGGCCTGGCTGAGATTATTCCCCCAGACCATCATCCTCTGCCATCCCCTGGTGAACTACGTGAAACATACTTGGGGATCTTTCTCTCCTGACATTATAATGGGTTCCCACAGGACTGTCCTGGGCACTGAAGCAAGAGGACAGTTGGTAAGAGAGTCTGAAACTAGAGTGGGTTAGAACAGGCTTCTTCCTGAGTAGTTTCCTTAAGTAGCCTTTGGAAGGAGCTGGGAATGTTCTGCTTTAGCCTGGGTGAGTTTCAAGCTGTCTGTCACACTGCACTTTGCCTTGCTGCAGGCTGGAGAAGTCAAGCCAAGTCCGCACAGTATCCAGCAGCAATTTATTCTTTAAAGGGAGCCGGTTCCGATACAGGTAAATAGTGACAGTAAGTAACCATTATGGATCTATTTTCAGACCCTTCTCTGGAAAACAGTCACTCACTTAGTGGTCTTTATCCTTGAAAATAAAACACTGAGGAACTCAAAACAAGGCTGAGGTTTCTATCCCTAAACAATTTTTCTGTCTTTTACTCTTTCTTTCCCTACAGTTGGTTGTCTATAGGCTTTTTGGTATTTTTGAGACAGGATCTTGCTCTGTCACTCTAGCTTGACTGGAGTGGCTTCATTATAGCTCACTGTGAGTTTCAGTGATCCTCCTTCCTCAGCCTCTAAGTAGCTGGTACTATAGGAGCCTTCCCACCTCACCTGGCTGATTTTCCAATTTTCTGTAGACAGGGATTTCGCCCTTGTTCAGGCTGGTCTTGAACTCCTAGCCTTAAGCAGTCCTCCAACCTTTGCTTCCCAAAGTGTTAGGACTACAGGTGAGCCTGGCCTGTCTGTGAGGTTCTTTTCCTTCTCTTACAACAGTTGCAAAATAAGAACTGTAACAGTAATTGTTTTTGTTACCCTGTCTAAAGGTTGCTTTTTTCCTCCCATGCTGAATGAAGAATCATTCCTGAGTATAGAAGATCCCAAAGACTCCAGAGATGGAGAACTCTCCATGATAGGCCATCATAACAGTTTAGAACTCTTTACCCCAACAAGCAAACTTTCTCAGTGACCAAAACGTAGGGGGAAGGGATGGGCCAAAGAGGCCATTTCCCAATTGAGCCAAAGCACCCGAGATCTTGGAGAGGAGCCCAGTCCTGGAACACTGTCTCATTTCTTGCTTGTTCTCCTTATTCTACTTATAGCGGCCGAGTTGCAAAGGAAGTAATGGAGTCAAGTGCTAAGATCAAACGGGAACCACCAGAAATACACAGGTAGGCTGCCAGGGGCTTCGTGTAAAACCAGATCCAGCTCAGATCCCAGAATCTCAGAAGATTGAGTACTGTGATGCTCCTGGCCACAATGGCCACCAAAGGGGCAGGAGAATAGGGCAGGAAGTTGAAGAAACCTGTCTCAGCTGAAAGTAAGGGGAAGAAGTCTTTGACCCTTGATAGAGAATGCAGGAGGACTGCTGCTACAGATAGTATAGCACACCCAGGTGCCACCTCACTCAGTAGTTCTCTTCTGTCCTCCCAAGCTTAACTTTGATCACAGACTACGGAAAATGTGTCCAGGAAGCAGTATGTCATTGGTTCTGGAATGAGACTCTTAGAGGAAGCCAGGCATAGCCCCACAGCCCTGCCAAACTGGGTATAAAATAGTTTCAGTAAACATGCTTCAGGAATAAGCCATACATCATGCATTTCCAAAAGCCTATCTCCTAGAAGCTGATAAGACCTAGAAAGAATATGATTGGCCAAGAAGGCTAGAATTTGCCAACCAGCCTTTGCCTCAGGGAATGGAAGAATTACTCCTGCTGCCTCACACAGAGCCCCCTGTCACCAGCAGCCTCTACTGGAGATTAGGGAGGCTGGCCAGTCTTGGTCCTCAGGTGCATTTTCAGTACTGCTCATCCTGAGGCTTTACTCCCTGACAGTCCTGCCTCCCTACCCACTCACCCCCAACTAGCGGCAGTGTTGTGCACTAAAGAAAGGTTCAGGTGGGGCTAGGATAATAGGAGATGGAGGAGTTTGAAGCAATGTCTCTTGACTGGGATCCACGGGCCAAAGGTAAAGAAAAAGCATTGAAGATTTTCTTAAAAACTTAATACAGACAAGCAATCCTAATAGCCAGCAGTCAATTCCAAGTACCTCCCAAATTTGTGCACTGAAGTCAACAAAGTTCTCTTTTTCCTTAACCTCAGAGCAGGGATGGTTCCCAGCCGGAGCTGTCCCTCCATAACCCATGGCCCAAGACTGAGCAGTGTCCCTAGGACCCGCAGAAGAGCTGTTCACATCTCCATCATGGAAGGTGAGCATGAGCTTCTGAAGATGACCACTGGGTTCCTCCAAATTGTGACTTGGCCAGTTTCTTCCTCACGAACCTTGGTAAGGTCCCTAATTTGCCTTAGGGACAGAAGAAGGGAAAGAAGAAGGTTGGATGTGAGGTGAAGGCGCATCCCACCTAGGCCTGCTGTGCTGTGGTCCAGGATGGGGCTTGTAGATCTGAGGGTCCTAGGTTAGCCCTGGATCTACCAAGTTCCAGGAAATACTGAAATTGCTTTCCACCAAGAGGCTTTCACTTGTGTGCTAGATCTGACCAATCGCCACAGCTTAAATAGCCAAGATGGCTGAGACAGTTAACCAAGAAACAAAAACTTGGTTTTGAAGCATTCCAGTAGCTGTCCCCATCTACTTTAGTTATACAAATATGTCTGGTTGCTGTCTGTCCTGAATTCCTTACCACTGTCTCAGGAAATCCAGTATGCCCCGGATCTTTCCACCCTTCCTTCCCTTTGGAGGAAGAAAAGGTGGGAAGACAGAAATTCCATGTATCTTCACTGAACTTGGTAACTCAATAGCAGAGACCAATAGTCTATTTTTTGGATAGCTGACATTATTAGGATGTCCTCCCAGAATATTACCTTCTAGCTGCTGTCACTGACCCAGGTCTCCAGCAGGCTGGATATGGGTGTAAAGTTGAGTGCTTTCATTCCTGAATATGATGTTCTTATAAGACCTCAGAAGATCTCAAACAGTAGGAGATAGCAGTAGGATTGCTTCAAACCTGTCTGGCCCCTGGGATTAATGGAGTGGAAGCTGGGGAGGGAAGGCCTTCTGCCCTTTTTGTGGGAATGCTGCTTGTTAATGCAAATGAAGAATTACTCAGATCAGGAAGGACATTCCTCTGCTGTTCCCCTGGGAAGATCTCTGGTTTGTCTTCAGGATTTTAGGATGTCATCACTATGAGTATGACATTCCACATTACCTGAGTCTGGTATCTAACTCCAGACAGTCTAAGGGTTGAGAACCCTGACCTAGGCAACCAGCATCAAGTTAATTATTTGAGTACCTTAGTTGTCCATCTGTAAAACAGAGATAACCCCTCCTTGCCCACTCCCTTGGTTGTAAGGAAGCTAATACATGCAGAAGTACTTTCAAGAGGCTAACATGTTTACTAGGCAGGCAGCCAGCACAGTGCAAAGAGCCCTGGTCAGAAGTCAAAGATAAGATGTGAATAGGAGTTCTGCCATGCACTTTCTGGGTCAGGTTGCCTCTCTGAGTCCCTGCCCCACTGCAGAATGGAGGTGGATGTGAGAGACTACTAAGTATAACCACTCTGCCAAGTATGGATTATGAAGAGAGCTGAGCAGCACTAGGTAAGGCCTCCTGGTTTTCCTCCCATCTTAGGCTGAGCTAGAGAACTGGGCTTGCTTTCACTATCCCTCATCTTTTGGGGTATACAAGATCTGACAATTAAGTTTGTGAAGCTGCCACCATGCACAGAACTCACAAAATTATAAAAATTCATTGAATTGTGCGTCAGAATCATTGGCTTACTGTGAGAAGCGTAGCAGACTAAGTAAACTTTTTTTGAGACATAGTCTCACTCTGTCACTCTAGTTACAGTGCCATGGCCTTGTACCTCACAGCAACCCCAAACTCTTGGGTTTAGGTGATCTTCTTGCCTGAGCCTCCCAACTAGCTGAGACTAAGTGCCCACTACAATGCCCAGCTATTTTTTTCTATTTTTAGTAGAAACGGGGTCTTTGCTGTTGCTCAGGCTGGTCTCAAATTCCTGAGCTTAGGCAGTCCACCCTCTTTGGCTTCCCAGAGTGCTAGGATTATAGGCGTGAGCCACCACACCCAGCCAAGACCAATAAACATTGATAGAGAAATAGGAAAATCTTAACTAAAAATCTTGGCATGCGAAGCATATGCCAAAATGGGCTCTTATAGCACAACAAAAGTACCAGCTCACACAGCACTGTCTGTGAGGGAGATTTTAGCCAGTAAACAAATAACTATATTGGAACACCCTCCCTACTCACCTGATCTGGCCCCTCAATGACTTTTTCTTTACCTGAAGATAAAGGAAATCTTGAAAGGAAGATATTTTGATGACATTCCAGACATCAAGGGTAATATGAAGATAGCTCTGATGGCCATTTCAAAAAAAGAGTTCCAAAATTGCTCTGGTGTCAGTACATAGCTTCCCTCTGAAGGTCACCATAGTGATATTCAGCAATGAGGTTTGTAGCACTTTTTCTAAGATGAGTTTACATCTCAGGAAAGTAAAATGAATTTTTCTCTTCCTTTGAGAAAACAACTTTCTTCCCTCTCTGGGGCTCTTCTTTCCATCCATCCTGAGGCTAACACCAGTGAGTTTACCCCAAGGCTTCTACAAAAAGTTGGTAGAGCTGTCCTCCCAAAGAAAAGGCTAACATGGGGGAGCCAGCACTAGTATGGGGTATAAAATAGCAGAGAAGCCTCACACATGCCTAATTCCTAGAATAGAGAAGAATGTCCAGCAAAACCAGCATCTCCAGGAGTGGGAAGGCTGAAGCTGTGTGGGGTCATTTGGAGCCAACTGCCAAGTAGGGTGAGCACAACTCACATGGGAAAACAGTCCTTTGTTCCTGAGACATGCTGAGCCTGCCTCAGTTCCCAGCCCACCTCCTCCTAGAACCTATCTTCTCCCACTGCCGCAGCAGGTTCCTTGTCCAAACCTGTCACCCCCACTTGCAAAATGCTAAGGGAGGGCACATCTTCAAAATCTCAGCCAGCCCCATGGCATTTCACACTTGGCAGATTATGGTTCAGCAGGCTCCCATGTGCTACCACTCACCAAGCCAACCTGCTCTTTCACACCCCATGCCCAAGGCTGCCAGCAGATAAGGAGGCTATGGCCTAGTCATAGTCCCTAGCCCAGGACCCATCAGATTGAGGAGAGTACAGGTAGAAACAGCTAAAAACTGACTCAGCAGAAATGAACCTCACAGGCTCAGGGTGAGGAGAGGGATGTGGACATCTGGTTTAGATGTGGAAAAAATAAAGAGCAGGGGCTACCAAGCCTGGGTAAATAAAGAATGGATCAACGTCCAGGAGGCAAGAGTTCAGGTGCACCATATTTTAAGAAAAGGTTTTGCCTCTAACAAATATAGCTGTCCCTAACTCTCCACCCAACCACGTGATGAGGGCCTTAGAAGAAAGGCACAACCAAAATCCCAAGGAATTTATGGGCGTTTGAAATTGGTTCATGCTCCATCAAAGGTTGTCTTTCCTACAGTTCATGCAGCCCATAAGTTAGTGTCACAGAAACTACCTCCTTGTACTTCACAGGCTGTGTAGACCGTGTGACTTTGTTGGCACCAGAGCAGGCCTGTACCATGTGTGGTCTGGATAACATCCAATGTCTTTGTAACTTTTACATCCTGGATTTTCTGGGACAGTCCTGATGTCCCCTCCCCTCTGGAATCCTTTGCTGACCTCTCTGTCCCTCAACCTGAGAGGTTGGGGCCTTATCCAGGCCTCAGGGAGAGGGCTGTAGGCTAGGAAGCATGACTTTTTATGGCTCTAAGTGCTTCTGACTAAATCCAGTGCGCTGATAACGCCAGCCTCGCAAAGCTGCTCCTTCCTTGCAGTTCAGCCTGATCTGAGGCGTGGGGATCTGACCTTCTCTCTCCAGCACAGGAGGCACTGCTGAGGGGCTGCTATGGCATAACATCAGTGGAAATCCTTCGTCCCTAGTGGCTTTCCCTCTTGGTATCTCCCCTGCCTGGATGGTTTCTCTGAAGAGATCAGCTGTTTTCCACTGAAGTATCTGCCCTCCTGGGCCACCATGGGGAAGACTCTGATTAAGATTCACACCAGAGTCCCCGTCCGGCTCCGGCTGACTAATCACTGCTCTCGGCACTTAAGTGTGCGTATCCTGAGGATGGGGCCCCGACTCCAGGGTAGGGTCCTGACTTCTGTCCCCCGCTGCCCACTGGGAGCCACTCCTGGTTATGGGACTCAGCCAGAACACCTCCAAGGTAAAAAGACTCTCCTCTGTTTTGCTGCATTACTTAGCCTCCCAGTGGACCCACCACATCTGGCTCGGAAAAACAGCTTGAGGAAGGGGCAGGGCAGGTGTGGTTCCTCCATACTGAAAACTTAATTGCTTATACAGGACTAACCTGAGATAAAATGATAGCCTTCTAGGTAAGAGTTTCTGTCAGGAGAGCAGTCTGACTAACATTCACTAAATAACCGTATTTGCCAAGCATTCTACTAGAATGCATCCCTGGCCATGGTCTTGCTCACTGAGAACACCAGCTCCCGATGTGTTGTGGCTTCTGGTGACCACTGCCTTGTTCTCTTCTGATGACAGAGGGTCTGCCGCTCTCCTTCCCCAGCAAGCAGAGGGCTGAATTGTAGGCCAAGCTAAGCTTGCATTAAAGTGGTCACTGGCAACTAAGCCAGTCACACTTTGGAAGATCTGGCAGTCAGAGCTGTCCTTGTGAAAGGGCAGGCCTTTGAAAAGGTACCACATGCACGGTGAAATGGGCTGAGATTCCAGAGAAAGGGGGCAGAGAAAGAGTGCTTGGGGAAAGAGCCAGAACAGGCACAGGCTGCATCAGGCCCTTAAAGGTTCTGTTTTAGCAATGACCTATAACATACTCTGAGGTCCATAGGCACAAATGGGAGCATCAGGGAGGGACACTGGGCAATAGAAAGGTTAAAGAACATCAGGAGCTCTAGAGCAAGGGACTGGGCTCTTAATTTCATGTTCTTTCTACTTTCTTGGCAATTGAGACCTAAATCGAAAGCAAATGCAGGCTATTGACCTAATCTAGTGGTTCTCAACCTGTGGGTCAAGACCCACAGGAACTGTATTAAAGGGCCACGCGGCATTAGGAAGGTTGAGAACCACTTAGTCTTAATCCATCGTAGTCCACTTTCCATTTCCTGGAATTAACTAGAGTTAAGTCCTCACCTAGACATCAATAGGTTCTTGGAAATTGCAACTTCAAGCAAAACAATGTAATGAAACCACTTTTTTCCCTCATCAACATTATGACAAAATGACAATGAATTTATTTGAGGACCTGCTGTACCTGGTTTCACTTAAAATCAGAGTTTCCGAGAACCTTAAGTGAGGACTCTATATATGATGAGTAGTACCTTGAACTAGAAAGAGGCTTGGATTCTATCCTTGGCTTTGCCTTTAACAACCAACCACATGATTTCAGGCAAGTTCTGTAACCTCTCACCCTAATTACTTCATGGAGTTGTTGAAAGATAAAATGAAAGTACCTTAAAAAGTTTAAAACATTAACCAAATTTAAGATTTTACCCAGAGACAAAGAAAATACAATTAGGACCCTGAGGGGGGTTCTGAAAGCAGAAAGTGAGAGCTGTGGCCAATGTACCAGTGGTGAGGTGATGAGTACAGACAGACAGCAGGTGCCCTGCCATCACCCAGCCCCATCACCCAAATTCCAGGGTTTGTTCCTGTAGAGCAGTGATTTTCAACCAGAGTGCTACACCAGTGTATCATAAGAGGATCTTAGATGTCCTGTAAAAAAAAAAATTGTTTTTTTGAGACAGAGTCTCACTATATTGCCCTCGATAGTGTCATAGCATCACAGCTCACAGCAATCTCAAACTCTTGGGTTTAAATGATTCTCTTGCCTTAGCCTCCCAAGTAGCTGAGGCACCCACTACAACTCCTGGCTATTTTTTTGTTGCAGTTGTCATTGTTGTTTAGCTGGCCAGGGCTGGGTTTGAACTCGCCAGCCTTGGTGCATGTGGCTGGCACCATAACCACTGTGCTACGGGTGCCGAACCAGAAATTTTTGAAGATTATTAATTATTTTCAAATGAAGTTCACAGCACAGTAAAAATATATTGTTTTTGTCCTTTTTTTTTTTTTTGGATCAATGTAATTTAAATGTGCCTAACTATAAACTCAAGTGTATTGTGAGATAAAAAAAAAAAA